GAGTTGGCTCGCCGGAGTTGTATGTCTCGTGTTGAAGGGTTGAAGTTCGATCCGAAGACAGAGAGAGAACTCGACAAGGTAATAGATGAAGCGGCACTTAGGATTGACGCAGAGCGTCCGAGCGTGAGTTTGCTAGTGGAGGTCCTTAGTAGGATAGTGTCTCCGATGTGGCGGGACCGTGTTCAGAAGGTCACGCGTGGCGACCCGGTTGATTGACCGTCATAAGCGCTTCGATCGAAGAAGAGAAATCCGGACGATGAGTGGAGAGTTGAGTCGGTTGCAGTGGCCTGAATGTCCGTACACACTGTATGGGGTCACCGCCCCGCAATGGCACGTATAACATTCCTGAAGCCGTATGACGCCACCATTTACCGTCTTTACGAACCCCTATCACGCACAGGGTGCAGTTGTCCGATGACGAGCCGCTGTGCTCAGGTGGTCCCGAATCCTCGGTCCCGCCACCATCGACTCATGCACCCGCCTCTAGCAGCGGCCCGACAGGACCGGTCCGCCACACATCGCAACTCTCTTTTTCTTGACAAAGTGCGGCCCGCTCCAACTGCTTTTTTACCAGCTCCTCATGCGACTCGGGCTCCACGAACGCCCTCATCGCAGCATCTTGCAGAGCTCCGGAACGCCTTCGAACAAGCAGATCGAGCTGGAAGTTGCTTAGTCTTGCTCGGCTGTGGTGTTATGCGGCTCAGCGGACTTGGCGAAGCCCGTCGTCCGATATCCTAGTTGCCTCGGCCGCGGCCACGTCCGCGGCCACTGCCTCTCGCCGAAGGCCCAATTCTGGCCGTAGCAGTAGTACTTCTTTACGGCTGCACGGCGTAGGTGGTCCCAGATGCGCGGTAGTGGGTAGGAGTCTGCCACCATCGACGCACTCAGCCGCCTGTAGTCTATAACGCACCTCCATTCTCCCGTTTTCTTCTTGACAAAGTGTGGAGCCGCGGCCCACTCACTCTTCGAAGGTCTCCTAACTCGAGTTTCTTAACCTGCTTATCGAGCTCCTCACGCATTTCCGGCTCGTAGTGCCGTACTCTCGCCTTGAAAGGCCTGCCATGGACTGTGAATCTGGCCNCGTACTTGACTCTCGCAA